CTACCTGCTATTATGTTCAATGGTCATGAAAGCTGCAGAGGCCAAAGAATCTACTTCATACTGCAGATGATCAACGAATAGGGGAAAACCTACCATGAATCATTAGATTCCAACAAGATCCAGCTTAAAAAAAGGAACTGCTGAAGGGAATTTTCAGTATATTGCTAACCTCAAATCTCATTAGTTCTTCAGTGTAATATAATAATATGATCTAAATAATATACCATTTCTTTTAAACTAGACTTGTGGGTGAAACACACCAATGACACTACAGCTTTTTGCTTCGAAAATGGAGACTGAGAAGGAGAAAAACTAGAACTATGTCTGTACTGCAAATGTATGCATATTCTGAATGATTTTAGCTGACATGGTTCATCCCCACTGCTCCTGGAAACTAATTTGGTGTAGGTCATGACAGTTTCATGTTAGGGATTTTATTTTCTTCTCAGCAACAATTCCAGAGGTTCCCTGTGGAGAAGGAATGGCTATAAAACCAGTGTAGGTATGCCCAGAAAAAATATAAAAGGAGAAAAACAGACCTATCATATCAGTGGAACTTCATTTTCTTCTGGTAACTTAGATCATTATGATCTCATTTCAATTTTGTTATACTGGGCTATAAGAGGGAATATATTCCTATGAAGAGATGTTTCTCTTTAGTAAAAAATAGTTGGTCTGAGTAACTTAGAGGAAATACAAACTCTAGTAATGTCTTGCCAAAATGTAGTAGGCCAGTTTCTAAACCTATCAGTAGTACAGAGTGAAAGTCTAAAATTCCAAGCTGTTTGTAGGACATCTGCCTTCCAAAGGTTAAAAAATATGATGTTGTTTTCAAGAGACCTTAATTTAAACCTCTCACTACCATGCTGTTTCCTTTTTCTCCACTGTAAACCATGTGGGAGGTGTTACACAGTGCTTCAAACTTCAGATTAAGAATGAGATCATCAGTGTGCATCCCAAGTTTGATTGTAGCCTTACAAGGCTTGGGAAGATGTTGCATCATGATGCATGGGATATCTTTTCTTGCCATCTTGGAGTTTCTGTGGTTGAGCTGCTGTTTGAGCCTGAAACATAGCTTGAGATCTATTCCTTCTGTGCCTAAAGAGGGTTTGAATTTGATGAAGCTCAGTATCTCTTCCTTCTGAACACAGCCCCTCTCCCACCGTCTCCCATCCCTGGTAGCAACCCACTTTGAATCTTAGCGGACTTTGACAAGCAGCTGTTCAGAAGGAGAAGAAACCCAACAATTCTGCTGAGCATTTCTAGAGAAACGATGGCTTGGAAAAAATGGGGAAGGATCCATTCCCCCGCCCCCCCAAGACAATCTCCATTCTCTATATATTCTTTTTATTTTTATTTCTGGCCCCTTGCATCTCTAGGTATACCCTGAATCTGGCTATAAAACACCATCCTAAAACATTCTCAGAAATATTTCCTCCATATCTTTATATCCAAGAGAGATAATATGCCAAACATTCAAATATACAAACAAACATAGAATACCAAAAACTGGCAAGTGAAATCAAAGGCAACTCATTTCACTCAGCCAGTTTAAAACATTGGACGCTGCCTTCTTAATATATTTGGCCTATCCATGAATATAGAATTTAACTCATGACAAAGCAGAAGTGGTATGAGTTTATAGGTTTCTAAATTGTACCGAGCATGAGGAAATCTAAACATAAGCTTTGATTTTCCAACATTCCAGTCTTTTGTTTTAATTGTGAACCATTCCTTGCCCTTTACATTTTCCTTGTAAAGACAGACATTTTATGCCATTGCTTGTGAGCCTAAAAAAACTTCTGTCTTCCAATAATTCATTGTGTTTTGGGGGCATTTTATGAGATGTGAGAGTTGGACCCACAAACGGTGCGCTGAATGCCCAGATTCAAGCACTGCGTCTGAGGTTAAAGGTGAAGAGTAGTTGGGTTCTTGCCCACCCTCATTACTCTACCTCACAGAGTCAGACATGATTTGATTCAGTGTCTGCACCAGGCAGAGACTGGAGACTAAAACAGCAATGGTTTTGTTGAAATACACTGGCCTGTAGAGGTTCATTAATCTCTTACTTTGTTGGAAAGAAAATCCTGCAAATTATACCTGATAACAGCCTAGAAATCCCAGTGCTGTTAGCCACATCCTACCATATTATCTGCCCACTCCACATTGGCTAAGCATTGCTTTAAGCCTGGGTGTTTTGTTTTTGTTTTATGCTGTCAGCCTGAGTCAGTTCTCTGAGCTAGCAGTCACTGGCTGAGGGCCAGCCCTGCCAATCCATGGATGGAGGGAAGCATCTCAGGTTGCAGATACTATGGGAAGCTCTGGCAATCTCCTGGTCCTTCCAGCTGTGCCCCAAATCAGCCCCCTTTCTTGGAGGACATGGTCTGTCCCATGTGACCCAACTGCACCCTCTAAGCTGGCTTAATGCCCTTCGAAGGGAAGTTTAGCTGCCAGTCCAGTTTGCTTCTGTACATGGAAAAGAGGTGAGAAACATCCTGTCTCCTGCCTCAGACCTGTTTTGCCTTGTGAACTACTGCCAATGGACCTGGCCACTTTAGAATCTGCTGCTTTCCATGCTGTTTCACTCCCTGACCTCACTAATTTAAAGGGTGTCAAGGGACAGGTTTAGGATATCATCATCATCACCACCACCATATTTATTTTTTAACCATTTTCCAGAGACGTTAAGAAGATTCTGCAAGTTAAATTAGCCAGTGCACTCTGAGATAATACAAGGCAGATTCATGTGTTTATATCACCATTTCCTGCTCTTTGCCCCTTTGTCCTTGAAATAGACAATGCTCGGGAGGAGTGTAGCTAATTATTTCCTTTCAATGGCTCCATCCTACCTTTCACTTGCATGTAGTAAAACTGTAGGAGCTCACCCCAGTATGTGAGAATGTGACACACGTTTGTTGATTTCCTTAGTGCATTTCCAGTTGGCAGGTGCTCAGGGAGTGTTGGTGTAGATATGATTCACAAAGCCACATGTGAAGACATGGCCCATTATTATGTGCAACTTGTTCTCCTACTTACAATTGTATTGCATAGAGCATAATGCCCCGAGACATGCTGGGGTTCTTCTGCAGCAGCTCAGAGATTCCAAGGACAAAATCCATGACTACAGACTAACCTTACTGCAATCTGGGTTGATCTTCAGCATTGCACAGCTACAGGGAAAGCTTTGACCAGAAGTAGATCCACGGGTGCCATATACAAACAGCTGTGCTCCAATGCACACTCTCCCAGGGGCAGGGCTTGGTGCACTAATATTCATTCTCTTCCTCATGCAGACTACACTTGCTGGTGGGACCTGTACTTACAGGAGGGAATGTGACACAGACTGTGGAAAGCACCTCTGCAATAGCTGCAGCCTTTTTCCTAGGGGATTTCTGCTGCTTGGATGAATCAGACCAAGCAACATCCGATCCAGCTGTCTACAGCAGTAGTAGTTGGCAGTCAGCTGCCTTTGGACAGGCCACAAGCAGGGCAGAAGTGACACTGCCTTCCTCCGTTTCTTCACCCCAGGATTTGATACTCAGCAATATAGTGCTTCTAAAGCATAGAACAGCCCTTTCTCCATCCATTTATCCATCCATCATGTACTACTTCCCTTCATTTGTTTATACTCTCTCCCCACTATTTTATCCTCATGATGGGTTATTTCTAACATTGAAAGGAGTGGGACTTTGGTTGGACTAGCATTAGATACAACCCACTGGACTTACAAAGTAGTTAGACTGAAAGCTGAAGGCTGGTCTATGTGTGCTTTCTTAGGAGTAAGTCCTTCTATGTTCAGTGAGATTTACTGTCTTGTACAGATGTTTAGGATTGCAAACTGAGCATGTTTCATGGCCGTGGAGAGATTTGAACCTAGAACGATCATAATCTAATACCGTTTAAATCTGCCGGTTGCAGCTAAGTAACATGACTAATCATAACCACTGAATTTTACAGTTCTTTTAAATCCAAGCTGTTGTGGGTTCTGCTGTGAAGAGAAACTGACTTTTGCCACTCCTGAAATGACTGCCTGACAATCTTATTGTATGACCCAAGTTTTTTATAAAGAAGGGGAAATACAACTTCCATTATGCAATATGGGCTTGCTGTTTTTGGCAGCAAGTTTGGGAATCACAAAAGGACTGTGGCTTGTTAGTTGTTCAGTGCATTGTTGTCATATTTTTACTGCTAGGGAAAGTGAACTGTGCTGGCACGAAAGTACCTTGGTTGATTAAGTACCCAAATAATATATTAGAAAGCCGAACACTTTCAGCTTAGGGGATTTCTAGAATTTGCCTCAGGTACTAGAATAACAGTGCTGGAATGGTACTATCCTGGGCCAACCCTACCATGAGGCCAAGTGAGGCAGCTTCTCAGATGCTGGGGTGGTGTTAAGTAGTGATGATGTGTGGGAGTACAGAACTTGTGCCCCGTAACCTGTCCTGTGCCCCCCGCAAGCTAGTCTGCTTCCCCTGGTGCAGTGGAAGATGCTGTTCCATAAACTGAAGCTGAGGTAAGATTCAACTATCAATCTGGCCAGCTTCTGTACATGGAATGCAGGAGAGGCCTCATCTTGCTTTTTCTCAGGAAGCAAAGTGTCTGGGGTAGTCCTGCGAGGCCCCTTGCCTTTTCAGGGTAAGTGTTTGTGTGCTGGCTCAACCCAATGTACACAACAGGCATAATATTATAAACTTGAGTTGCCTCTTCTTTCTACACAAGAAATACACTAAATGATTCCCGGTAAGGGAGATGCTGTAATCTCTTGACCACTTTAGCCCATCAAGCCCTATAAGGAAGGAAAGATGTGCATGAACTTTGTCAAAGAGCGTACTATGCTAATCTACCCCCCACACCACTCCATCCTCTCGGAAGAAATGTTGTTTGCTCTGGTAAGTTATCTTAACCGGTGAACATCATGCTGGGAGCATATATTTATAGAAGACACCAATGAACCATATGTATACATTTTTTATTCTGAAGATTTCTTCTTTCTCTCACAGACTTGCTGCTCTCCAACAGCTGCGTTCCATTCCTGGGCTCGGCAGAGGGCCTGGATTTTCGAACCCTGCTGCTCGACGAAGAAAGGGGTCATCTGCTGCTCGGCGCGAAGGACCACATTTTTCTGCTCAGCTTGGTTGACTTAAACAAAAATGTAAAGAAGGTCAGTTTATAACCATGGATATATATTTGTACAATTCAGCTGATAAGTTTGTTTTTAACCCGTCGGCCTCCCCACTTCCCACATGCATTGAGTGAAGAGCCCGCACAGTATGTCATGCTCCATCGGAAGGGTTTAATCACCTTACCTCCCGTTGTTACATGGTTTACTTTTAATAAACTGAGTTTGTCAGCATGCATGACCTCTTGTAGCTGTAAAGTAATAGAATATGACAAATATCAGTTGGACTTTCCCTCTCTGTCTGGCTAGAATGTAAGCAAAGGGGAACATCTTTTTCCTTCTTTTCCCATTTATGATCACAACAAGCAATGCTGTAAGCCACAGTCTCATCTCACACCTATCCACCCCTGTGAAGGCTTAACTGGCTGAAAAGTTAGACCATTTAGAGCAGGCCTTCTTGCTTAATCACCGTTTTAAAATGCATTTTAGAAATGTTGCCAGCATGTATGTACGTACGTGTACATGTGTGCGTGCGTGCATGTGTGCACATGTATAAGCATGCCTTGAAGCATTTATTCAAGCATGCATTAGCATAGCTTATCCTTCTCCAGGTTTTTAAAATGATCCTCCTTCATTCAGTATTCAAAGCTATTCTAGGTTCCTTAAGCGTTCATTAAGATAAACCGAATGCATGATGATTCACTTTAATTAATACATTTAAAAGATGGGAGTAGGAGCATTAGCATCCCATCCCCCAACATTATTCAGGCACTGGTTCACACATGTACCTTCATCACTCATGGTTCGTTGCGAAGAGATCTGACTTGCCAATATGAAGGAGTCATCCTTGATGGATAACCCTGGATTGAACTGACACCAGGTGATACAAAAGCTCTAAAGTATATTCTTCACATCTAGCCCAGGGGGTTGTTAGAGTGGCCTGGGGGGCAGGTGGAGGTTCCTCTTTGGATTGATTCCCTAGGTGAAAAGAACAGCTACAGTTCTCTGTACCTGAAACTAATTAAAACATTGGGAAAGTTTCCAGCCCACTCAGTTTCTTAAAATGTTAGTTTCCAATTGCTTATTTAAAGTAGAGCGCTAAAAAAAGTGGTCTTCATCCAGAGTTTGAAGCAATCCAGTCTACTTCATCCAGTAAGGAAGGGAATGTGTGAACAAATGTTCATTCGGACATTAGTTTACCTGAGATACAGAGCGCCAGTGCAGTGGCCCTGATGGAGAAGCACCGTGGGTTGGGTGGGGACTGACTTTGTGGAACAAACCTCTCCGCAGAAGTAGCATCAGAACTGGATTGGGTGGTTTGAGAAATAATGAGGATAGTTTGGGATGTTTGACTGAACTAAAGAGGTAAACAGGTAAAAGTCTTGTGCTTCCTCAGTGACAGCTTCCTGCTTTTGCATTGTGAAGTCAGTCAAGTGTTTGCCTGGTCTTCCCTTCACCAGGAACAGACAAATCTATCACATTCACTTTAGCTTACTTGCTCATTTTCCAAAGTTAAGCTCATTTTCCAACCATTTGCAAAACTGTTTTACCAATGTTTAGCTTTGTTTCTCAAAATGCATGCTTGTATATGTTTTTAAGCAGATTTTTCAAATTATATGCATTCATCTAGGCGCCTTTTCTGCACACATCTCCATAACATGCCCATTTCTGCTCACCCTTGTCTGCACCCTGCACTATGCAAAGTACTGTTGTATTCATCTTTTGATCAGAAATGCCATGAAAGTGTGGATATTGACATTAACTATCCTGGTTAATATGTGAGTTTGGGCAAATTTACTATGGCTGAAAAATGTATTATATGCTCATTATTACTATTATTTATAAGTATTGGTTCATTTGAAGAAAATGAAGGGCAACACTTTTGATGGTTATTCCAGGTCCGGAATCTGGATTAAATGAGAGGAAGAGGGATAAATGTATTGAAATCACCCATTTTAGCTTGAGTGCAAAGCAATTCAACTATGTTCAGCCAAAGTTTACTTCAAACATTTAGGAGGAAAGTAACTCCCTCTTTAGTTATGTATTTACAATGCACAAACATTTCATTCTGTAGATTACCATATTGTACAAAGGCTTGCAAAATTTTCTAGCAAATAAACAAACAGCTGAGCAGATCGTGTAACTTCTGCAGCCCCTGGTTGCCCTTGGCTGTGGTTAGGGACTTGCAGAAGTAAATTTCAGTTTTTGTTTACAGTGTTGTGGCAGAGCCTGTCTGTGTCTGATAAGCTTCTCTCTGAGGTTTATCATGGACCATCAATGCGCAGCCACGTATTTTAAGTCCTAGAATAGGTAAGCTGCTCTTGTAAGCCATTTTACTTCCAACATGATCCCAATGGGATCTGTGGGTGCTCAAGTCTTTTGGCAACCAGCCTACTTCCTTAAGTCCCTTATTGTGGATTTATAGGGCTGGCTTTCAGAATGTCCATCTTTCCCTTTAAAGCCTCTTTGTAGTTGAACCGCTGATCACAATATATGTAGCAGGCCTGGTGATTTTTTGTGTATATCAAACTCACTTAAAAGACTTCTGTGCTTGAAAGGTACTCCCCAGTAGCAAATAAGTGTCAGAATGTGGTGTTTGTGCTGAGCTGTGTTTAGACTGACAGTAGTTTATGTTGGCCAAGTGCCACCCAGCTTTGCTTCAGGCTTTCCTCTATGTGACAAAACTGTGCACACTGGGACCTACAAGGGTTTGAAGCATGTCCTTTATGCTTCTTGAAATATAGCGACATCTGACAAAGTAAGTTCCATTAACAGGGAGCCACAAGGGATCCAAACAGTAAATTAGAATATTAAATGCTTTTCTGCAAATGATATTAGTTTACATGACTTTGAAGGAAGTTGACTGGAAACACTGCTCTTTGATATCTGAGATGAATACAGTGGTCTGGAATGGGAATTGGGCTTGTTGAAGAAATAAGATTGCTTTTAGTGTTAAAGCCTCCACTTTTTAAATTTCATTTTTATACAAATCCAGCAGAAATAGGTGTGCGTACACGAAGAGAGTTGACTTGAGTGTTTGCTCAGGGACTCATTGACCAACCCAGTCTCCAAACCAGAGCTGTCAATTCTTGAACACTGATACGCTGAGCTTTTATGAACATTATCAAAATATAAACTAGAGACAGGCATATCTGCTTATGAGTTGGTTACAACTCACCCTTCTTGTGGTCTGTCTAGTTTCCAGCCTGCCCACAAAATTACTCCCCCAAGTTAATGATATTGCTGCAGTGGCCTAGTGAAGCATGGTTAGGTAAGACTATCCTTAAGTGCCATGTGGGAAAAAATATCCAACTCCACTTAAAATATTTATCTTGAAATATGGTTAGTTGCATATTTTTATGAGAGGCCATGCTGTTCGGGAGGGTAAGCAAGGATACTTATCATAGTGGAATTGCTAGCAGATCCACCCATGTCTGTTGTAATGAGTCTGCTATCGAGGAGCTGCAAACTTTTGACACACTGCCAACATTCAGGCACTGTGAGTGCTAGGAGCTTCAGCCACATCTGGCCACAGAGATAAATAGATCAAATTCCCAGGAACCTTCCTCAACATAAGCTGTTTTGGTCTCCCACTCTGCACAGAGGGATGATAGATCATAAACTATTGCTCTTCAGAGCATCTTGGGCTTAAAATGTTGGGCACCGGAAATAGTCCTCTCTTGCTTTTTAATCATATTGTGTAAATTGCTCTTCTTGAGAGTTCTTTGCTGGTGAGGAAGTGCTCCCCAAAGAAAGAAATCTTTCTTCCTTTTCAAGGTTTTGTGTTGCTGTTTTTCTTAATATATGGAACAATCAAGTTTTTTTTTTTTACTTTATTCACACAATTTACTAGGAATAATGAAATCCAGCTATGTTGCAAAGGAGAAGTAAGAGATGCAATTAAACAGAAAAACAATAAAGGGAACACTAATTTAAAAGCTTTTAAAGATATTTTAGCAGATTTCAATAAAGGTATTCATAAAACTGTCCTATCTTAATAATGGTACAATCGGGTCTGCTCAGAAGCAAGCTCCACTCAGTTTGGTAAAAGTGTCTAGGAGTGCAGCATTAATGTATTTCTAATGACAACTAGTGGCTTAGGAATGTAAGACTCCAGTACAAGAATCTACTGTGAAATAATTCAGATCAAGAGTTTATTAGCTCTATACTGGATTTTGTTAAGATGTCAGGTTAAGGGTGAAAACCTAGGCAGAAAAAAATCCCTACAGCTGCCAGCATGTCCCAGCCACCTATGGGGACTGTAGCCTATTTTGGCCTCAGTTTGTATGGAACTGCATACTTAGATGTTCATTCAAGTGGTCATTTTAGGACTGGACTAACGGACATCATCAACTGACACTATCTTATAGAGCCAAGAATCAGTTTTCTTCGCACTGAGTGCTACATCCTCTCCTGCCTGCCCAAGCCAAAGAATCACCCCTCCCCCCGCAGGTTTAGACATTTGGAAACCAGCAAGCTTCCCAGCACGCGCAGCATAAACAAAGCCTGCAAGTCACATGGAAGAGGGATGCCGTTTGCACAGTACTATGAGGCCCTGCCTCACAGGCCCTGTTCTTTGTGGACCCCTGCAGAAACATTGGGCATAGTTTCTAAGAAGTCATACTCTCTCCCCGAAAAGCTGGCTGGGGAGCAGAGCCCAGCTAATCCAACAGATTCCCAATCCCAAGATCTCCGCATGTTGTGAGCGGAGCCGGCTGGTGCCGGAGGTCAGATTAGATGGCCTGAGAGGCCCCTTCTGACTCGCTCTGTTTCTATGTGTCTAAGATGGATTCCTAACATATCCCTAGTTTGCTTGTCCTGGATTTGGGTCTGGGGTGCGGGATAAAACTCTCAAGAGCTACAAATCCTGATGGCCATATGTTGCTTCCAGTGTCAGAGGCAGCATACTTCTCAACACCCATGGCTGGCAAACATGAACGGAGAGGTCTGCTGTCCTCTTGTGGGATTTCCCTGGGGTCTTCTGCTTGCTTGCTATGTGATGCAGCAGGCTGGGCTAGATAGACCATCCGTCTGATTCTGCGCAGCTCTTCTCCATATGTTCTCATCAGTCAAGTCAAGTGAAATGGGGATTTTATGATAAGGAATATAAGTTTCTGCTCTCTCTTCTCTTGAAAAATAACCCCAAGGACCACCTGGATGAAACAGCTGGAAAGAAAACCATCCTTGTAGCTTACACTTATCAGATGTATCATTCTGTGCTTTGTTTCTGTATTTGTAGGGCTGTCATCCCTCTAATTGTACAGATAAATAAATATGCTATGCCTCTTAGGAGCTATAGAATTCTCCAGGTGTACATAATACAAGAGTCTCTCTGGTCGCCTCGCTGTCAACCAAAAACCATGTCACTTAGATAAGAATGTGGTGATGAAGACATGTTTCCATCCTTTTCTCAACTGCTTGACTCTAGCTGGCAGGACAAAGGATAAGCAGGAGGGTCTGAGTTTAGAGTCCTCTGTCTACCAAGAATACAATTTTAGGATTCCTTCTTTCTTCCTTTTAATTCAGCCTGTAATTGCACATCCACTTACCTGGAAGGCAGCCCCACCGGACTTAATGAAATTTGCTTCTGAGTAAGCCTGTATAGGATTCTGCTGTGATGGAATATTAAAATAATGATGGGTTAATATAGTAAGCCTTGACTCATTTAACTATGGGTAAGATTTACTGAATTTAATTTGAGTAAATATTGATTGGATTGTGCTTCAATGCGATGCCCATTTTCCTGCATCTCAGCCTCTTTTTTAAGACCACCGCGCTTATTACTTCTGTGCAGATGCACATCAGGACCACACTCTAAAACTGCATACATTTCTGTATGAGTCATAGAATTGTAGTTCTGAAAGAGAAAACAAATGGAGCAGCTCCTTCCCCCTCGCAGCCGAGGTAGAGAGAAAGATACTCGTTGTTTCGCCCTGGTCTCACAGCGGCATTGGAGAAGGCTTAGTGGGCAGGGAGAGGGGCAGGCAGGAGAGACAACCAGTGCCACAAAGATATGAGGTAGCCCCTGGCACCTCTGCCTCCTTCCCTCCCCAGCTGAAGTGCTACGTCCAGACAGCTGAAAGTAGCCATCGAGATACTTTGAGGAGTGGGAGAAAGGCAGAAGCAGCCTTTGCTTCCACGGTCCTCCAACTCCACAAAGAATGCCAATAATCCTCCAAGTTCAGAGGGTTACCAGCATCCCCACAAGATCGGACCGTAACTGATGTATAGCTTGATTTGGCCAGAAGTTCTACTGTGTCCAACAGGGCATAATATTGCTGCCTTGATGTTTCATCCTAAATTATTTTATTAATGACATATATTGAACTGTTTTAAACATCATAATAAAATATCTTTAAGATCAAATACTCGTAGCTAGAAAGATGATAGATAGGAATGAAGGAAGGAAGGAAAGACGGAAGGAAGATAATATTTACTTATTTCTCTTTTACAACAGAAACGCCTGCTGCTACAAGATAAAAATGAACAGCAATGTGGCGTGAGTGTGTGTGAAGCAACACACTTTTTCAAATCTAAAAGCTGTAAAAATGTCACAGCTCTATAGATTACTAAAAGAATGTAAGATTAAGCTCATTGTGAATTGTCTATTTGGTGAAATAAATAAAGGCTTTAGTCTCTGGCTCTCTAAAATATGCAGGCAGTCAGCAGAAGGACATAGAAGCAGATGCTTAGGAAGAGAATGATGTAAACCACTTTGAGTTCTTAAAAAAGTGTGATATAAATCTAATAAATAAATGAATGAATAAAGTGTAGCCCATCCCCCAGAAGTGATTAAAATATCCCTGTTTAGACAAACATATTAGTAGTGGAAGGATGGAGTTTGTAGCAGATAAGGATCTTTGAAGATCTCATCTGTCTTAATTTTATTTGTCTGGAATGATGCACAAAAAATTGAAGAAGTCAGGGAATAGATAATTCTTGCTTTTATTTTTCTAACACCTGTTGTGAAATAATTTATATCCCAGATTTTACTGTGTATAAAAATGAAGCTCAGTTCTTGCAGGCAATTGAGTAACTCTGGGATGGAAGATAGACTTAAGAGCAGATCTTTGAGCAACTCTCTACCAGGCCAGCTGAAGTATCTTGGACCCATTGCTGAATGCCTTTCAGAGGTCATTAGAGCTTTGTTGGGCTTTCCATGGCATGCTTTTAACTGTAGTTATTTCTTTGATGCTGTTCTCCTCCCTGTCACCTCTCTTAGTGTCATCACTGGTTCACATAAGTTGCTTATTTTGTGGTGGTGGTGATTATGATGATGCTATTATGGTTTTACTTTTACCTTTCTTTTACTTTTCTTTGTATCTCATAAATGTCTATTTTGGAGGCTGCCTTTTGAGGGCTTTGTCACACAAGGCAGGCTACAAACATTGGAAGTAAGTAATAAATCCATGAGTTAATCCATTAATATAAATACAAACAAAAGGTCAAATGCCTGTTCATCCCCGAGCCTCACTGGTCTGTCTTGGGAAAATTGTGAAATAGGTCAAAATGGAAGAATCCCTTTTGCACGGACAGAAATGCATCCTGAGCATGGATTAGAGAAAGAGCAGAATACATGTGAGAGGGTGCAGGGCATCCCCCCACCCTGGTGCTTTCCAGATACTTTGGATTGCTCCCATCATTGGCCATATTAGCTCAGGCTCAGGGTGGTCCAATCCTTCTGGAAGGGCAATGCATGCAGGTTTGCAACAGATGTGTACTGGCTTCCCATTTGCGGTAATATCCAGCATGCTGCTTCACGTAGCCATCCCCATCATGAGGCACACTGAGGCGACATCTTTGGAGAGCATGGAGTGGTGTCAAGAGGATGGATGACAGTGTGCGGCATGCTACACCCTCAGATGCAGTGCAGGATGCATCAGGGCTGGCCCAAAATATTTTTCTGCCTGAGGTAAAGCACAAGATGGCACCTCCTCCCATTCCACATATGGAAGCAAAGCAGATTGGCAATTAAATTTTACTTTGATACTGAGGGCTGCAGGGTAGCTTAGGGAGTGCAGGGCAGAGTACGATGTGAGCTAAACACAGCTCTGTCAGCAAGCTCAGGTGGAGTGGGCAGAGGGCTGTCACTGCTGCCCCTAAAATCTGCCACCTGAGACAGTTGCTTCACTCTGGCTTACGGCAGGAATGACCTTGCTTATGGCCAGTGCTGAAGCAAGAATCAGCTGCCAGTCTGGTCATCTCTACAGAGGATACTGCTTTGCATTAATTCTAAGGCCAGCTGGGGAAGGGAAATAGAGATCATGGCAAATGCAATGCCAATCAGTCCCCAAAGACAGAGCTATGCCCGCAAGGAGATAAGGTCGATCAGGGAAAGATTGTGCTCCACATTTACTTTGCTTTGAGCTCCTTGGAGGCCAGGCAGGAATACAAATGTGGCAGATAAATAAATGAATATATAATATAGTTCACATTAAGTGCGATGCAACTTCTAATCCTCAAATCATCCTCTAAATACATTACAGATACTTTGGCCTGCAGCAAAGGAGAAGGTGGAATTATGTAAACTGGCGGGGAAAGATGCCCATGTAAGTACAATAAAATGCTTTCAGTTCTTTCAGTGCTGGTTAAAAATCCATGTATTGATTTATATTTCCAGGGGGCGGTAGTGGCCATGCCTCCTCTCTTATTTTATCTAGATAAAGGGCTCTCATCTTGACAATTATTATTATTATTATTATTATTATTATTATTATTATTATTATTATTATTAGAACATTTCTATGCCGCCCCTTGCTGAAGCCTTGGGGCGGCTTACAACACAATAAAAAAGACAATAGGATGTATGTGAAGGCAGGCTGGGGGTACTTCATGACTCTGCGTGCTCACCTGGCCACCCTGCCTAGCTTCAGCAGTGCGGTGCCATTTTCCCTTCCCCACCCAAGTCACGACATTCATTTCCACTATAGCAACAAATGGAAACCATTCATTCACATGGGGAAATTAAGGAGATGCATTCAGGAAACCTGTTGAGTATGTGTGTGGGACTGAAAAACCTCCTCCCACTGCAGTTGATCCCAACCATTAAAAATGAAGCCTGTTTATATTATTTACTTATTTGAAAAGTGCATAAACCTTAACCTCATCCCAAAGAGGATTTCAGGTATACATGAAACATTCCTAAAACAATGCAATGCAATATAGAATCTAAGCATTAAAAAATCCAGAGGCACTAAGCTATTTCCACCAGCTAAAAATGTTGATGTCTCTTTTGCTCAATGTTGTATGATTTTGTGTGTTTATTGCTTGCATCCCATGTTGAGATTATTGTATAATGAAAAATTTCCAGGTAGGAAATGTCTTAAATAAATAAAGCTGCAAACTTAAACCAACCTTAATTATATTTAACATAGAGGTTGTTTTAAATGCCCATGCAAATAAAAAGCGTGCGTGTGGGTTCCACTGGGTGATCATTTTCAGTCTGGAGGGCATTCCAGAGTTGGGCCACCGCCATAGAGACAGTTGTTCTGCAGATGTCAAATGAATGCCTATGGAAGGAGTACAAAGAACGGCCTCTTCTGATTATCATACAGCATGGGCAGGTTGATACTTTATTTATTATATGTTAGATCTGTCTGATAACAGCTGAATAACAGATGTTCTCCAGGTGGATTACAAAAGCTAAAATACTACACTGGAGAACAGCTATCCCAACTGCATAGTCCACCTCCTGGTCTGCATCTTGTAGTGCAGATCCCTACACCACAGCTCCCTTTGCAGTTTGCAAAAGTGGGTCAACATTTGAGTAAGGACAGGAAGACTTCTGACCCCCAAATAATAGGAAGACAGTCAGGAGCACTGCTTCTTACTTGGATTCTTTTTAGCTGCTGTCATACCATTTGCAGAGGCAGTAATAAAATCCATGGCTTTGTGTGCTGTCATTCTTCTTCATTCCTCTGTTAGAATAATAGTCTGTCTGGCAGTAGCATTGTTCCAAATGCATTGTTGGGAAGGGGGGGAAAAGATGATAACGGGAGGTCACCATCTTTTCCCCCAGTAATGCCTCTGGAATGATGCTACATCCAGGAACATACGACACTGGAAAATTTGCTGAGCTGAATGGACTTTTGACATGTTTCTGATCCTGTGGCCAAAGGGCAGAACAAGTGGTGGGGAGGACGGTTCCAGCTCCTGCAAAATTGCCCAACATGTTTGCACAAAACTGAGCAGAGTACTTCGTATCTCTTGTGCAAATTGTGCAAACTGGGGCTATTAGATTTGAGCCACTGCTGTTGTTCTGGCAGTTCTGTTACAGTACTGAATATAAGAAGAACGAACTCATCTTCCTTTCATTGTACATGGGCCACCTTGGATTTTCTCACAGTTAATTTCAGATTCATGCAAATTTGGGCCCCCACTCCTCAGTTTGGAGCAGAGGCCTAAATATTGTGCAGATATCCGCTTCTTCTCAAACAACAGCTTGTTTTACCAGTGCAAGTCTTCATGTCCACTCAACACTCACCTGATATAGTCAGCAGCTGTGACAGAATGGAATCCACGGTTGAGAAAATCCACTGTATTTCAGCCCCCTATTAGATTCCACACCCATCACTAGCTACATCCTTTATATAGTGCTTGTAGCTGCAGACAATAGCAAAACTGTTAATTAAACAAAGACCGAAATAGATGGGCTCTGATGCCACTCTCTTTCTCCTACCTGATCAGATTTTTTTTAGATATTTCCCCTGATCCACAAAAGCAGGGGTCTTGTTTCTTCTGTTCGAATCCTCCAATGTCCTTCTCTCTGTTGCCTTCTTCCATTTTTGGGGAGAAGAAACAAACTGGGCTTAGTTCTGCTTCTTGGTATGAGGAGTTTATTTCTTGCTTATTTCAAGTCTATCTTGCCTTTCCTCCAAAACTGGCATTCAAGATGACTAACAGTAATACAATTTAAAGCAAGTTAAAAATAAAATCTTAATTAAATCCTAAAAAACAGATCCATACAAAAATGCAATTAAAAGCACGACAATAGACATGTGGGAGGAATGTGTGGGATGGCTGGGATAATGGAAGTGGCTGATACAGAATGATTGATGCCCAAGAGCCCAACTTGGATAAGGCTTTGCTTTTATTCGCTTTTCTAATGAGTGTGCTATAATGAATTCTCCGCCCCAGCGTGCTAGTGCTACAGCAAAGCTGAATGATGATGCTTCAAGGACGACAGGGACTGGAGCAGAGAGAAAGGGTGGATAGCCAACTGTGGCAACTGTGCACGTGGAAGGATGTTGGGTGAGGGGAAGAAAAGTATTCATTACAGGGTAGAGCTCATAGGTTTCCATCCTTCACCATGAGTCCTTTGAAGTCAATGAGGGATGTAATGTATGTGGATTTTCTAAGTTTTCATCTCTGCCTTTTGAAAAAAAAAAAAAAAGGCCAGTTTCTGCTGGGAATTTGCTGAGCACAGCTTGATCACAGGGTTTTAACAAATGGAGACACTGGAATTAATATTGCAACAATTAGTCAACAGCCGCAGTGATTATAGACCCATGTGGCTGGCTGGCATATATACAGCTCTGTGTACTCTAATAGGCACTCAGAGATCCTGCACTAAGTGATATGCTGTTATGTGAAATCTTTTAATTAGAGACTGCGGGGACAGAACTAGGGCTGTTCTGAAGGCAAAATGCGCAGTATCCTGCCGAGGATCCCATAATCCTCCTTCCATAAGACTGTGCATCATCATCATTAATTATTACTATTATTTATTATAAATGTAACCCACCTTTACATTTGCATTACCTTCTCAAGGTGGATTATAATGTTTTAAAAACATGGACACATAGATTGCAATTTTACACACACGTGTCAGCAGAAGGTAATTTGTTTAAGCACCAAATGCAGACTGGAAATAATGTATCCTTCCTACTTCTTTTTTAAGCTGGCCATGATCAGTCTATACGTATCTCCCTGAGAAAGCCCCATGCTTAGTACTTCTCAGTCCAATAGCTCTTCTGAGTGGACCAGAGACAAGGTCTGTGAAGCTGATCTGAAACCTTGGGCAAGCCATGCAGTTATAAGTGGTCTTTCAGATAATATGAACTGGGCCTGGAAACGAACAGCCAATGTAAATGATGAAGAATATCATCAGGTGTCCAGTAATTTGATCTGGACACCTAGCAGTTGTGCCTCCCTTTTTCCCTTCCTTCACTGCCACCTGCCACACTATTATCCCCTCACCAATACCTGACCCGTACAATAGCTTCGTTTGTGCAACTTGTCAAACCACGATTTGCAAGGATCATAATGGATAGCCGTATCCATGGTTCGAGCATTTGGACGAACAGCTGACAAGGCATTGCTTTGAGCTGTTCAGGTGGTTTTGTTCTCAATCCATGCAAATTTGTATTCTCTCAAATGAGCTCCTGTCCCCTTAATATGACAGTGTTTGCTCAAAAGTGTAGTAGTGGCTGATCCAGTGAATGGCCTGAACAATGGTTTAGAAACCACTTCAAGCTACAGTTCCACTGTCCTTCTCAATCGCATCTCATTTATTTTGTCAATTCAGATGTCAAGCCTCAGCTCAATGTCCTTCACTATGGTATGGTGTGAAAGCTGGGTGCTGTACAGTCATCATCATCATTAATTTTTTAAAATAAGCTTGCAGTCTTAAAAGACTTTGCATGAATTTTCTTCTTTTCTCTTTCTACCTTCCTCAGTAGTGTGTAGCATATTGGCCTGGCCACTGACTTCAGTGTGTGTGTGTCCTTTTCAGTGTTGATGGTGATTAATAATTTCTGCCCTTCTTTCCACAATAGACAGAATGTGCCAACTTTATCAGAGTCCTTCAGCCCTACAACAGGACCCATGTTTATGTCTGCGGTACAGGAGCTTTCCACCCAGTCTGTGGCTATATAGAACTTGGAACGCACAAAGAGGTAATTTAATCCATTCCCAAATGGGGCATGACAAGCAATGGCTTGAACTTTCCCTAGCATTCATCATTCTCCTGAAAAATACAGGCTGTGGCCATATAAAAAACGATCTGACAGCCCTTTATACAAACAACAGGGCAATGTTCAGTTTTTGCCAGTGGTGTAAGAACTCATGTTCTCACATTTTTGATGTGTGCATATTGCACATTGGCAAACCTTTTATGTGCAAACAAGGTGATTAATATGGCTCTACATAGGCTTGCTTTTTGGATGATTAATGTTGTAAAGAGCACATGTTAGCCCAGATGCCTTGCAGGATGATTCCCCAGCAGGGAATAGTAGTATGTAATAAGTATTATAATAGTAATAAGTGAATGGAACCCCACCAGTCCAGTTAAATGGCAGTATGATGCAGTGGGCAGAGTATTCATTTTGGAACATGGCCACTCCAGGGCAAATCCCTGCTTGAGCCATTATTTTCTTTGTATTGTTCTTTGTTCTGTGACTGTCACACAAAATTATATAGCAGCCTTCCCTAACCTGCTGCCCTCCAGATGTCTTGAACCACAACTGCATGGATCCCTGGTGATTGGCCATGCTGGTGGGAGCTGAAGTTCAGTCAAGAACACTTGACTGGGGAAGGCTAGTATTGAAGACAGAAATCAGTAATGTTTGCAGCATTACTGATTGTAGCTTTGCAGCATTACTATAAAGATTATTAATAATAGAGCTAAGTAATGGCCATTGGATTATGAAAATATTGATGCTCATCTGTCCATCTATAGTCAGCACCCCATCAAGGACAAAACAACAGTTGAAAGTAGGGGAGAACAAAGTACTCTTTATGATATTAAAACTGAACATAAGTGTCTTTATGTAACAAGTTTTTTCCTATTTAGTTCTGTATTTCATATGATCACTACCATTTTTTTGGAAATATCAGGCAACACAATCATGTCTTGCTGGAATCCAGACTCTCATCTCCTGTCAGGGAAACAAATCTTTCTGATGTTCTTTGCTTCTTTCTTTCTCTAATGAGCTTTTCATACCTGCTGGTCAGCCTCTGAGACCTGCCAGCTACCTGCGGTCTTATACCACTCCATAGAAAGATAAATGTCTGGCAGATGAACAGAGAGCTTTCATCCTGGTTTAAAAGTATGTCAGTCCCTGTCTCCTGTAGTTCAGCATGATAAGATTAAAAATCTAGGCATGCTGCCATTGAAGGCGATGCCAGATTTCATGGAAGCAGGCTGCTCATAGCATGCAGAGCGAAGGCCATAAGGACTACCCTGCTGAATCAGACCAGTGTTCCATCTGACCAGTTAGCTGGCCAGATGTCTCTGGGAAGCCTGCAAACTGAGTGTGAAGGCAACAGATCCGTTCCATTATCTGGTCACAGCAGCTAGTATTCAAAGGTATACTGCCTTGGAACCTGGAAGTTCTATTTTGCTGCGGCTGCTGCTGCTGTTGTTGTCAGTCCCTGATTTTCCTATCCTCCATGTGCTCTTTCAAGGTGTTTTCTATCTATCTATCTATCACATTTGTATGCTGCCCCATAGTCAGAGGCTCTCTGGGCAGGTCACTGCAATATAAATATATATAAAATGCAGATAAAAATAAATAATGACAACAAACAACCTATGAAATATGGTAAAATTGAAATACAATAGAAATACAACCATATGAATCAGAAACAGGAGGAAAACATGATATAACCAATAAAACAATAAAATAGTAAACCAGCAGCAAAGCAATAGTCCAATCTAAAAACAGATACTAAATTTTAAAAAAAGTCTTAACTTGGCATGGAAAGCAAATAAAGTGGGTGCTAGTCGCTTTAGAAGGGAATTTCAAAGGTGAGGTGAAATGACAGAGCAGTCCCTTTTCCTTACCAATTCCCTCCTTATCTCCTTTGAGGTGAGGAGGGGCAGGGGGAGGATTACGAAGGAGAGCTTCCATTGATGAGTGGTCTGGTAGGGATATATGGATACAGGCATTCCTTTAGATATCCTGGCCCCAAGCCATTTAAGGCTTTATATATTAGCATGAGCACTTTGAATTGGGCCTGCGCAAATTTCCCATTTAGACAAATGGACTGACCACCAACAGAAACTCCATCTTGTCTGGGCTGAGCAGTTTATTGGCCCTCATCCAGTCCATTACTGAGCCAAGGCATTGGTTCAGGACAGTTGCTGCCTCATCTGAGTTAGATGAAAATGAGAGGTCGAGCCGAGTACCATCAGCATACTGATGACGTTTCAGCCCATACCTCTGGATGGCCCTGCCCAGAGTTTTCCTGTAGATGTTAAAGAGCATGGGGAATAGAATGGAGCCCTGTGGAACTCCATGGCACAAATGTCATGACAAGGTGTGACAGTCCCCCAAATCCACCAACTGGAGACAAACAGCCAGATTGGAGTGAAACCACCGCAACCCGCAACCCGCAGTCCAGTCAGCCTCTCCAGAAGGATACCATGGCCAATGGTGTCAAAAACTGCTGAGAGATCCAGCAGAATCAATAGAGTCATGCTGCCGTCTCTCTCCTGGCAGAGGTCATCCCCAGGGCAACCAAGGCAGTTTCTGTTCTGAGCCCAGGCCAAAAGGCCAATTGAAATGGATCTAGATAATCCATTTCCTCCAAGAATGCATGGAGTTGCCTGGCCACAAGGTTTGACCTTGTAGTGATATTTCATCATTTGCTCATCATCATTTCCTTGTTATGGTCATCAGACCTATCCTGATCATGATTGATTATTTATTTGGGGCTAGGTTGAAGAACACTGGAGCCCCTCACAAAATCATATTCAGGGATAGGATTCCTAGGAGCACAGTTACTAAAGCAATACCTCATCAGCATGTAGTCACTCCTTTGTCCAGAAATCGAGTGTTTGCAAGCATTGATGGATGCTGATAGGCTGGGCTTGCTTGCCAGATTCCTCCATGCTGTCCTGTGTAATAGAACTGCAGAGAGGCTGCATAGCCTGTCCTGCCCTGCCCTGCCCTGCCCTGCCCTGTCCTGGTGGGCATCTGCATGCCTTTTAGGGGAAGGAGACTGTGCTTTCACATGTGCTTTGTGGCTGGGTGGGGTGTTTATCTTGGTTCAGAATAAGCCAGATGGATGCTTCTGCTGTCTTCTTGGAGCACATCCCTGGCCAGTTCTGTTCAAGGCAGCCCACAGTAAGCTGTAGGGTGGAGATGAGAAGGTGAGGTCAGCCTTCAGTCTGGCATTCTTGTCTGCCAGTTCAGTCTCAAAGATGGAAATAATCCTTTTTGTACATTGTTCTCTTATATCCCTCAAAGTTTTCCAAGACACAGAAAGATGAAGCTTGTTTTGTGTGGCCAGACTGTGGCTTGGTGAAACAATCAGCTTTGCCCAGCCTAATGTCCTGAGGATGTTTTGAGCGGCAGTTCCCTTCAGCCCCAGCTGATATGCGTGAAGGTTGGTGATGATGAGAGTTGTAGCTCGAAACACATCTGGAGGGCACCTGGTTGGGGAAAACTGCAGTAGGTTTTGTGCTGGGGGTACAGAATTACTCCAAGCAACCTGCCCTCCTTCCTCCCCCGGGGCTGGCTTGAAGGATCAAATTCACCTTTTAGTGTGTTATCCAACCAGCAAACATAAATCTGAAGCGAACATAAATCTGCTCCCAAGAGGGAAATAGAGCTCAGCTATCAAAAACTGCAAAGAAAACCCAAGACTCATAGTTCACTCCACCTCCATTTCATATATGGGCCTTTCTTTCTTAAACGAGACAGTCTCCTGCCTGCCACACTGAGCTAATGAATGCGTCCCTTGTATGCAGGAAACAGCGCTCAGATTTGAAGCTCAGAACTTGGAGTCCGGCAGATTGAAATGTCCTTTTGATCCACAGCAGCCTTTTGCGTCTGTCATGGCAGGTAGGATTTCAGTTCTGGAAGTGATTTCCCACTCAGCATTGCACAAGGCCTTTTCAGAACTGGCGTGTCTGCAGCCTTGAGGTGGAAGTTTGAATCTGTACGTTTAACTCTTGCTTCTGCATATGTGTTGACCAGGCAGCAAGCTGCTGTCTCCGCCTCTGCCTCCACTCCAGCCTGCAACATGGGAATGATGATGCTAACCTGCTTGACAAGGCAGTTGTGTGGGTGTGGTTGTTCTGATCCTGCAAAAACCACAAGGATTTATCTTTAAGCATCAATTTGTGTCCTTGTAATATCTCAGCTGCAAAACTCACTGGGTGACTTTGGGCCAGTCACTGACTCTCAGCCCAACCTACCTCACAGGGTTGTTGTGATGATAAGACTGAGAGGAGGAAAGGGATTATGCAAGCTGCCTTGAGTTCCTTGAAGCACAAGAAAGAGGCTGTACATATAGTAAATAAATAAGTTTTATTTCTTTCTCTTTTCAAGACAGTGAACAAAAAAATATGAAACAAGGGAGATACAGTAAAATATATAGTCAGTAAAATTTTTGTAAGAACACGTTACCCATAAAAATCTCTAAATGCTTGTAATCACATTATAAACTTTCATCTTAGGTCATAACCCCGTAACAGACCACACGCTCTGCAAGCAGCATGTCCCAGATTTAATTTCTGGCGTGTCCAGTTAAGTCATCTTCTGTTAAAATGATCTCTGATAGCAAGGACCACACCAGAGATCCTTGAAGCCTGTTGCCAATCAGAGTTGGCAACTGTGGGCTAGACTGAGGTTCATCAATTTCCTTAAGGTCCATGCCTCTTAAACAGTATAGCATTTTTTCTTAAGTCACTTCACTAAGGATGGATGGATCTATCAATTTCCAATTACGTTAGTTTCACATTTGTGCAATCTTAAATTGGGTTCATCCTGTTATTTTTTCCTTTTACATCTGTTAGTAATTCTTATTAAAGACCACACAAATGTTTGTGCATGTTTTTGTGCACCTTCCTCCAAAAATATGTACGACCAATTTTGCCTTATGTACACATCTTTGATAGCAATTCTCCCCCATGTAATGCACCTTAGTACATTATTTTCGCTAATCTTTGCACTAATACGCACATGCATTTCATCTTGCTGTTTGAATTTTTATATTCATATTAAGTGGAGAAGTGGATCACAAAATTCAAAGAAGTGTTGCCACTGAAGGGGAATTGTGGTTTGATCTACGTATTGGTTCAGGATGTGCAAATTATATTCTCTCTCTCTGATCCCTAACACTGATGCATGTTTTACTTGCATCAGTTGCTTCTACACCACTATGCAAAGTGCACACATGGTGAAGAAATGCATGTTTAGACAGAAAAAGCCCTACAATTCCCAGTATGAGTCTATGGTTCTTGCTGATCTCCTTGTATGCAGGCTGCCATAAAAATGGATGGGACAATATTTATTTTCAGTCCAAGCCTCTCTCTAGAGCTGTGATTTTGTGCCCATGTGGAATTGCTGCTAGCCATTCCTTTCTTGCTAGTGGTGAACTTGTGCGGCATTTCCAGGTCTCACAGAGCATGCTGGCAAGTGCTCCTAGCAGGAGCTTGCTAGGAGCAAATCCCAAATGATAAACATCCCTGCGTGGAGATCAGTAAACAATCCCTCTCTGTGCGTCCACATCCCAAGGGGCTTACAAGTTGGGAATTCATAGACTGAGTGGAAGAGTGAGTTTGTTTTTCTTAAGGCACAATCCTGTACCCATGTAGACAGGAAAACACTGCATGACTCCCCCACTGCCTTGCAGGAGTCCTACAGCTCCAAGCACACCACAGCCAGCCATCCTAGCTGGGTGTGCTGGGGATGGTAGAACTTTTTTCTGTCTAAACAAGCATAGGATTTCACCCTCAGGCATGGAGTAGAAGCACATTATCACTCTGCTTTCCTCCTGCTCTTGAATCAAATTTGGTGGAGTTGGATACTGTCTGTCAAGAAACTAATCTCTTCACTTCAGGACTTATAGGGCCTACCTTTGTTGTGGTTACTGTTTCCTAACCCTTCTTCATTTTTATTTAACTGGCCCATCAAGTTGTGCTTTTCATGTAAGATAAGAAGGAGTCGCCATGACGTTTTTATTTGTGGCAGAAAAGAAGGTATATTAAGTTTCTTTAAAGAATTGGTCACAGTATATTTATAAAAAGAATATGACTAATGTTGAACCTTTATTCTTGGAAAATGAGATTGATGATTCCTAATCCTGACCCTGCCAAGGTCCAAAACTTCCATTATTTGATAAACAATAGAGGTTGTCTGTCTTGGGATGTGCCACTTTTAAATCACAATATGTCATTTTTAAAGGATCTCTTTTAAGAATTCTTGGGAAATTGTTCTATTCTCTCTTTTCTTTGAGCCAAAGGTAATGATTTATTATAGTGTTTAGAAATTTTCTAAGTTACATTGTCCCCTCTGAAATGACACACGGGGAGAGTATTTCAGTGACTGCATTGAGAGATGCACAAGGTATTTATAAGTTAATCACTCTAGTCTTCTTACATTCTGAAATGGCAACCCAGTGTAAATGGCCCTGGGGCTTAATCTGCAAAACTCATGGCTAGGACTTACATAAATGAGGTACTTTTAGGACAATGTGTGGCCAAGCTGGTGAGGTCTACTTTGTGTGTTGTAAGAATTGTGAGGCACACCAGCAAAGGCCAGGTGCAAAATAGGGGCCCGGAAAGTAGCTCCTAATGAGTGGTTTAGTGGATGGGGCCAGTTAATGACTTCATCCTATCACCCACTCCTAGGATAGCTTACAGCATAGCAGAGTTACAGCTGAAAGGTCTACAATTGGCTAGATCAAAGATCTTGTCAAAGCAACCAGAGTCCAAAAGTGAAAATCAGTGAGGCTCAGAAATCCACAATTAGCCTAAGACCACCACACAAACATACACACACACACACATTTTGCAACAGAAACATAGAAACAGAGTGAGTCGGAAGGGTTCTCCTGGGCCATCTAGTCTGACCCCTGGCTCCAGCCGACTCCACTCATGACATGCCTACCATGTGTATGTGCAGCCTGTCCTTAAACAGCCTCACCGTTGGGGCTTCAACCACCTCCCATGGAAGCCCATTCCATACCCTTGGGGTTGTAACTGTCAGGAAGTACTTCCTGGCATCCATCCTAAACCTTGGTTTCCTGAGCTTTGCTCCATTGGAATGTGTCCAGCCCTCTATTGCAGGGGGAAAAAGGTCATGACCCACAACTGTGTGGCACCCGCTCATGTACCTGTATATCACTAACAGGTTCCCTCTGAGTCTCCTCCTCTCAAGGCTGAAAAGACCCAGATCCCTCAGTCTCTCCTCATATGGCTTACCCTGCAAACCAGCCACCATCCTAGTGGCCCTTCGCTGCACTATAGAAATGTTAAGGAACAACTTCTTCCATTACCACTCTTAAAACCTAATGTTCCATTCCACAACTAGGAAACAGTAAAACTTAGAAGTATACAACTTGCCCATCCATCAGGCTAGTAACTGGACATATCACTATAAGTTGCTATTATGAGACAACTTGGGACTCTAAAAGGAGAGACTGATCTGCAGCGAATCCTCCAAAGACTCATCAAGATACCCTGATTTTGATCTAACCCATCTTCAGTCTAAGGCTTCCAAACTGAATAGGAGTATGCAAGATCAACCTTCTCCATGCTTAGTAGGCAGCTGAAGTCATAGGATTATCCAGAAAAGGCAAGAAGACCAAGCTTGTGCTATTTAGACTAAGCCTAGCAGACAAAGCTGTTTCTTCGGTGTTGAGCTCAGCCCTGACCCCTGGCTCCCGATTAAAGTTCTCAGCTTTGGTCCCAGAAGCAGAGAACCTCTTCAGTGGGGTTTTGTATCTGAATTTAAGTTTGGGCTGCTTGTGGTCTTGTGCAAGACCTGGCACCCAATTAGTCAGAACCAGCTGAAATTAAAGCCCTCCACATGACAGGGGCCATTTCATCATAGGCTGCTTTATTATTGTGCAGGACTCATGGTGTGGTTTGCTCAGCTGTTTTCACATCACCACAAGCATCTGGAAAGGGTGGCTTCTGTGCTTTAAAGCTGAAGAGCAACTTTCCACCACCACTTGGAATTGGCGTGACTTAAAGCAGGCTCTGTATTGCAGGGCTGAAGGATAAACTTGGCCCTTGATCTTCAGCTATTTATACATGGACAAGCTGACCAAGAACAAGTGGCAAGGACAAGCTGGACACACTGGTGAATATATGACTTAGAGGGAATGCCCTGAGCAAATGAACTTCTAAGATGCTTGATTTGAGGGCTAGCTCACATGCAACATGCCATGTCAACTCTTTTGTGGTACACACAGGGACCGATGCCACTGGGTACTGGGTTGCGTATGGCTACAGCCTGACACTCTAGTGGCCAGATGAATCTTCCCATCCCAGGAGGGCTTTGAAGACTTGAAGTGTGGTGAGGAGAGGGCTGAAACGAGTGTAGAAGAGGATCAGCAATGTGCCTCCACAGAGAGTGCATGGGGGAGAGTCCCCAGGAGCAATTACCTTCCTTCAACTCCTCAAGTTATAGTCTAGTCCATATCATCTGATTTTGTGCTCCTTCTGCAGAACCACCTGCAACTCAGAAGGATGCCCTTCATTACCATGCCAAGCCTAAGATCTGCAGGAAGTACCCCAGCTTTGCCATAGTACATGCATGGAGAAAGTGGCGTGCCAGTAGTGGAGACCCAGTTGGCAGAGATTTCAAGCCAAATGCAAATGCGGTTTCTTGGGGTGTCCTTCCTGCTGGAGGTTTTTGTTTTTCAAAATGGGCCATTGCTGCATTTTCCCTTAAGCAGTTCTCACAAGAGAAGAGATGTGATCGGGAGACTGTGGAAGGAGCTTCACTGTATAAAAGTGATGCTTAAAAAAAAGAGTTCAGTGTTTCCCCCTGAATCCTGTTTCCACATTGGTCATGAACTGGGATTAGCCAGACTTCCCCAGAATAGAGGG